TTCACAACTTGACTGGGAGACAGCATGCGAATAAATAATGACCAATCAAAAACCCACTGCAGGGACAGCTGTGGACACACAGGGACACAGCCAGGAGTCAGCTGGAGAAGCAGCAGGAAGAAAAGAGGCCTGCGCTGAATCTGGCAAGGTGCTTGGTTCCTGCCCTCAGAGTGTACAATCTAATCAAGGCCAGGACAAATAGCCAAACTGCTATAGTGCAAGGCAGAATGAAGCTGCCACGGTAAGCCAAGTTCAGAGGGAAAGGGAACTCACATGACTTAGGTGGGGTAGGAGAAGAGGCAGACAGGAGACTACAACATGCTTTGAAGAAACTGATATTGAAGTAAGTCTCGAAGAATATGTTTTCAAGAGAATGCAGAGGAGCTGAAGAGGCATCCTAGAAAAGGGTTTTCACAAGCAAAGGCCCAGCATGGGGACTATGGTGTGGTCAGGATGGCAAGCAGTATAAGGAGTGGTGAGCAGAAAGAGTGGAAGTCAATAAGATTTCTTCAATGAGAAGATCCTGAGACAGGATGAAAAGGCCATCAACCGTGCCACCTCCAGATGCCACCTGGTTTACATGGCCAGATAAGTGCAATGGCAAGCAGAAATAGCAAACCTAACAAACTGAAGTACAGTGGGGGGAGGTCTTCTACTATAGTTTCATTATCCCAGTGTACCAGGTGGGCATGTCACCACAGAAATGTGGATGGCAGAGCTCTGTGGTAACATGCATGCTTAGCAGGTTTGAAGCCTGGGTTCAAACCAGAGGAGGGAGGGTGGCAGGAATATGGGCACAGATAGGTTGATCTTCCTGGGCTCCATTCAACCTCTTCCACTCAAGCACTGGTAAGACTATCAGGATCTCTCTTACTAGAATATAAGGGATAGATATGGCAAAGAATTGCACTTGCTGAGGGTTTTTTGTGATACTACATCTGTAGTCTTGGTTTATTATCTTATGGTGGTTTAGATTGACTGGTTCCTAAACCTCTCTGTTGTGGTCCTGGGATGGACCATTCTGCCTTGACTAAGAACCATTCTGCCTTGATAAGAACCATTCTGCCATGACTAACCTCTTGGGATGTTAAAGTTTCAACTGGATCCCATATACCTTCATGCTGTCCAAAGAGATGTTTGTGGATTCCTGTCTCCAATGCCCCAGCTTTTTAAGCTCGTGCATCATGAAGTTTCCAGGTGGTATGCAGATGCCTTGTCTTTTTTGTTGGTCTTAGTAACAAAAGGTTAGGGTAAAGAAGTCCCTTCACAGCAAGAGAGGCACTGACGGTGCTGATTTTAGAGTGAAACAAGTGCCTGGAGACCCAATGTTTATTCCATAAGTGTTATGACTTATAAAGAGCCTCAGTTTCCCTATTTGTGGAAAGTGAGGACTACATTGGAAAACTCTTGGTTTCCCAATTAGAACATAAGACTAGGTTCAGCAGGCCAATCCCTTACTTTTCTACTGTGAATCTGTACTTTGGTGTAATAGTAGCTGGCTGTGCATCTCAGTTCCTGCTCCTGAGGGATACAGGAAGCAATCTCTGAGTTTACTCATTTGGTCTGACCAAATGAGTTGAGTATGCACATGTTCAAAAGTGTCAAAATGGGACTTGGTCCACCTTTATGCTCCATCCAACTGGTTTTGCATATGTTTTCCTGAACATCACAGAGGGTCCACTAGGCCCCATGCTACTCCAGGATTTTTTTAAATTTTTATGGTAGAAGTAACCAGCTCAGTATAATGGCACATGAAAAACCAGATCTGCAAGTGTAGAGGAGGTCAACAGTGAATCATCCGGTTACTCATGCATGGATGAAGATGATCCATTCTAATAAAATACATGCTTTCATATCAGAAGAGTGGTATCGGTGGATGATGGTAGTGATAATGATGAGAATGAGGATGACTTTGATGTTGGTCACGTGAGCCAAAGTTCCTGTGACAGTGAAATGGAGCAAGAAGCAACCACATAGACACAGGAAAGGCACACCTCCTTCATTCTGATGACAAAGACAATAGCAATGTGAGTACATATTTGACTAGCTGAAATACTGCAAAATGGCCACGCAACTAAATGGAAAGATCCAATGTTAGAAGTAGATCCAAAAATATTGTGAGGGCTTTTGCAGGGGTAAAACACATGACCAGCACTGCCATTCAATGTTGGAAATTGCAAGAGAAGAAATGCTAAAAGATGCTGTGAAATACACAAAGGCTAAAATGCAAGTCAGATGTTCTGTATGTACCAATAACCTTATTCAAAAATGTATTTGTTATGACACTTCAGTAGCTGCACTGAAAGCATTTATTGGTGTCTTAGTTACTTTTCTCTGTTGCTGGGATAAAATACCTGACACTCAAAATTAAGGAAGGAAAGGTTTATTTAACTCACAGTTTGTAGAGGTTTTAGTCCATTATCAGCTGGCTCCCAGGCAGAGTGGTACATGGCATAGGGGCAACAGTCCAAGGGGGCAGAAGACAGCAAAAACAACAAGAGCAAAACCGGAGAGAGCAAGCTTCTTTTCCTCCCTTACATTATAAGCAGACTATCCCACCCCCAGGGCAGGTGTAGCCCTCACACAATTTCCATGCTCCTCTTACACAAGATGAGGATGTTTGCAAAGGAAGGACCCTGGCTCCCTGCTGAGCTGCTTAGTTAAACTTCTAAACTTTTAAACTTAACACATTGTATCAACCATTACAATGGGTCTGCTGTACTTAGCAGGATTTCTTCTGGTAATCATAGAAATGTAAAAGAGTTATGGAAAAGTGGTGGGTAAAAATAGGGTCGGGGATATAGCTCAGCAGCATAAGAGCTTGCCTGGTAAGCCTGAGGTCATGAGTTTGATTTCTGGTACAAAAAAAAAAAAAAAAAAAAAAAAAAAAAAAAAAAAAAAAAAGCAATGGGTCAAAATATGGCACAAAAATGTATGCCCTTGTAGATGTGAAGACTTATTATGCTCTCAATTTAGACATTTATCCTGAACTCAACCCTCAGGCCCTTATTTGTCTAATAATAAACTGAGTGATGCTGTGAACAGATCTGTTGCTCCCATCGCCCAAACTAATCAGGGTGTGACATGCCACCGTTGGTCTACAGTTCCCAGTTGATGTTATATTGGCTAGCAGAGAACAAGCTGACCAGTGCAGGAACTGTGCACAGGGACAGAGCAGGAATTCCAAATGAAATGTTGCAATTTTAAGACAGAAAATTGTACAAGATGTTTTTGATGAGTTATGCAGCAACTATGACCTCACTTGAAACAGAAAACAATGGCCAAGGGTTGTATTTTACTTGATCCTAAACATAAACAGTTGGTAGGTTAGAAAGAAAATAAACAGTTTGGTAGGTTAGAAAGTTTGGTAGGTTAACATAAACAGTTTGGTAGGTTAGAAAGAAAATAACAAGTGCAAAATATCATGGAGAAATTTTCTTAGAGGACTGGGACTGGAGCTCCCAAGAGACAATTTACAGCAGAGGAAAAGCAAAATGTTTCTGCCCAGGAAACTACGCACAAAACTTGTGACGCACAGTAGTGAGCTGACAGGTGAACACGCAGGCTTGGCATTACACAGACTTACTATGACAACAGGAAAACCAAAACGATGTCAACTGTGCCCTAGAAGAAAGAACAGCAAAACGAAACATACATGCTACCAGTGTGATACTTGTGTATGGAGCATGCAGCTGTCCCGCGTGAAGACTGCCTTGAGTGTGACAGTTGGAGCGAAGCTTACTTCTGTGATAGACTAGTTTGTGTTTACACTGTAGTTCACATAGCTTTTTATTTCTGATGTTATCTTTTAGTTTTGTAAGCAAGTAAACAGCTGGTGCGAAAATGTTAATGTCTATTATAAGCATACATTATATATTGGATATTGTATTTTATTGATGTCTTCCTTCCCTCCAAGTGCATGTACAATATAGTACAATACAGTAGGAAGCTCCTAGCAAAACAGGAAGAGAGGTGACAAGATGGTCACATAGAAAAGGAAAGCTAAGCACACATGCTGTCAGTGAAAGTACGATGTGTGTGCATGGACTATGCAGTTGTCATGTGTGAAGCCCACCTTGGGTTTGCCAGTTGAAATACAGCTTTCTGCGGTAGAGTTCTATTGGTATTTTCATTGTAGTTCATATAAGAATCTATTTCTGATGTTACCTTTTAGGCTTTGTAAGCAAATACACAGCTGATATGAAAATATTGATGTCTATTCTAAACACACGATACATATTAAGAATTTAAAAATTTATTTGATATTTTATGTTCCGTTAACTACACACTATATAACACTAACCTCCTGGCAAAACAGCAAGACCACTGAGATGTCAAGTATGTCTTACCAAAAGGCCAGGAAAGTGAAAGACATGTGCTATCAGTGTAAGTAAGGTGTGTGTATGGGATGTGCTGTTGTCATGTGTGAAGTCTGCCTTAGATGTGATAACTGAAGGAAAGAGTTTTTTTTTGTAGAGTGAGATTGGTATTTTCATTGTAGTTCATATAGGAACTTATTTCTGATGTTCTTTTCTAGATTTTGCACATCAATAATCAGTCAATGTTGAAAGTTTTGATGCTTTTAATAACTACAAAATAAATATTAAAAACTCAATACTTTATTTTTGTGATTTTTTTCCTGTTAAGCATTCATTCTTTAATATAATAAAACTCACAAAACTAAAATTAATAACTCATCAATAGAAATATATAAAGAATATATGTGGGTCTGGCAGACCCATTTTTATATGCATTCATAACAAGATTAGTCTTATGTCCCAATCTACATCTAAAAACTCAGTCTCAAACCCTTCCTTAATTTCTCATTAACAGGCAAAAAAATGGGGAGCCATTTGCTTCTCACATGATTGTACAATCTGGTCAACATGTTCACTATTAGTTCTGGCATTCTGTCAAATACTTTTTTTTTGAGACAGGGTCTCACTATGCAGTTCAGACTAACCTTGAACTTGATTTGTAGCCCAGGCTGGCCTCAAACTCACAGCGATCCTCCTGTCTCAGCCTCTGGAGTTCTGGGATTACAGGTATGCGCCACCATACCTGGCTCTCTGTCAAATTCTATTGGTTGACACAACCTTCATTTTTCTGCTTCCAGATAGCTGTGTCTCTGTCAGTACCCTATCTCTATTGCCAAAAATCTCCAAAACATGAAAAGTTTGCGACTTCCTTTTATTTCCAAGTTAGCAAGCTCACCAACTGATTTTATCACACAAGTATTAGACACTAAAGCATCTGTGTTAAATATAAAGGACAATGAACCATTCACAGGAGGAGTAACCAGGGTGTCACTGTTATGTTTTCCCCACCCGCTGACCCAAAGTCTAATTTCACAGCCGCTACGAAGAAGGCCAGATAATACAGATCACTGGGTGGGGCTGCTCTACAGGAAAGGAAGCCTGGACCTGGGGAAGCTGGCTCTTATCCTGGGCAGTGAGCACACCTGCTCTTCTCTCCGGAGGGAGTCATTTTCTGTGGGTTCCAAGGCCGTTCACTGTGAAGCCATCCTTGAAAAGACAGCGTGGAGCAAAAAGTAGTGAGTACTTCACTTCTGAGATACGTAAAACCTACAGAGAGAACTGTCTCCCACCAAAGGCCTTTAGTTTCTTAATAGAAATTGACAGAAGCTACTAGTATGTATGAATTAACGTCCAATTCCCATTTTGCAAGAACTAAGGTTGTATTCAGCTGTACATAACAAAATCCTGACTACAACTACTTAACTAAATGTGTGTTTTATTTTGTTTTCTTTTGCACATAAGCAGAAGCTCAGGAGCCGACTGTTCAGGTCTGGTACAGCTAAAACTGAGGTTGTCAAAGACCCAGGTCCGTCTATTTTTGCTCCCCTAGCCTCATCCTTTGGCTTCCTAGCTCACTATCACAATGAGAGTGTTCTACTTCCATTCATAACAACTCTAGTACAAGGTTGAAAGCAGCAATGACTGGATTCAAAGGAAGCCAAAGATAGGAAAAAGAGTTAATATGTATGTGTAAGGTGATTAGGAGAAACAAGTTGATTTCCCTAACACATTAGGGATATAAACATTTCTTGGGAAACTTTGGCAAGTAGGTAGATTATACCAATATGAAGCAGTTTAGAGGCCTTGGGCCGGGAACTAATTAACAATTTAATAAGAATGACCCGAAAGCCTGCAACAGCAATTAATTTAGCAAATAATCTGCGGTTCAAAAATACACTTTTAACGCACAAAGGTAACTTGAACGGGTACAGAGTGACACAACACAAATGGTGCTGTAAGATGTCATGGTCCGGTGCTACTCTTCAGATTCGAGCGTTACCACACAGTGTCGGGCTGTGCAAAAACAGGCGCCAGAGTTACAAGATCAAAATTCAGCCCGGATCTGTCTTAGTCTGTGAGGACTCCCTGGAGTGCCAATGTACTTCTCTACTTTCTGCATTACTTTGTGGAATTACTAGGTAGAATTTAGCAGCAAAAATCCTAATTTTCCCTACATTAGAAACATGCTTATATGAATAATTCTTTTTTAGTCATTACAATTTGACCTGCTGCAGTTGTCAACAACATTCAGCTTTTAGCATAAACTAAAGCAATCAGTTTCTAAATAGTCTTGTTCCTACATATCTGTGTATACTAAATATCTCACTTTATTGAATAATCTCAAAGTCCTGAGCCAGGTGTGGTGGCGCACACCTGCAATCCCAGCACTCGGGAAGCTGAGGCAGGAGGATCGTTGCGAGTTTGAGACCAGCCTGGGCTAAAAAGTGAGCTCGAAACCAGCCTGAACTGCATAGCGAGACCCTATCTCAAAAAGACAGAAAAAAAAAATCAAAGTTGTCTAAATCTTGCTATGAAAAAGTTTTGGCAGAGTTGAGTGTCAATGTGGTAATGATGTTTGAAGCTTGTCAATGTGTTTCAATAAATGACTGTCAGCTTTTTCAGGGCTGAAACACAACACACTCACAACTTAAAAAGAGGAGAGGTTTAATTTGGCTCCCGGTTTTAAAAGTTCAGTTCATGGTCAGCTGGCTCCAAGCCAGGAATGTCAAGGTGGAAGTGTGGGGCACAGCAAAGCTGCTCCGTAGATGCCAGTCGGGAAGCAGAACAGGGAGGAGTACCAGAGAGAAATGCGTGCAGGGCCATATACAGGGGCTGAGACCCCTCCTGCACGTCCCACCAGACACTGCCCACGGTGCACTGTATTAATCTGCTAGTGATCACGAAGTCTGCATACAGGACTAACAGTCATGTCAATTCCACTGTTAGCGCTGATAATTTAAAATTCTTTTGTTGTTGGTGGTGGGTTTTGTTTTTTTTTTATTTTGAGACAAGGTCTCCCTATGTAGCCCAAGCTGACAATGAACTCAGAGCTATCCTCCTGCCTCAGCATCCCAAGTGCTGGGAATACAGGCGTGAGACACCATGCCCAGCTCAACCTAAAATTCTTTATAGATGGTGGAGGCACTATCTGCGGCCAGCTACTATCAAGGGGAAAATTAGCTCCTTCCTTCCTCCTTGCCAGATTCTAAGGGTAAACTAACTTGTTTCTATTGTTTTAAAATCGTTAAATAACAAATACTGTAAATTTCCTCAATTAATCAAAAGCTAAACCCAGGCTCTAGAAGTTTGAAGATAGGTGCCATTGCAACAAACAATTATTGCTGTTATTAAAACTAATCACACAGACCTTTATATAGTTGAAAAACCTATTCCAAATTAATTTTCTTATTGAGCTTCTCTATATTCACATGAGAAATTACTCCCCAAGTAATACTATCTCGTTATACAGATAAGTCAATCTTTTTAATTTTTCTTTTTAATTTTTGTCTGCAGGGTTTCACCATGCAGTAGGTTGGCCTTGAACTCACTTTGCAGCCCTGGTTGATCTTGCAGCAATCCTCCTGCCTCAGCCTCCCACGTGTTGGGTGCCATGCCTTCAGCTCAATTTAGACAAAAAAAAAAGAGGCGGGGGGGGGGGGGGAGAAAGAGAAAGGGAGAAAGTTTAGGTGCTTGGTGGAAGTTACTCATGAAACTACCCTAGGAGACATTCACACTAGTTATGGCAACTATAACGAGATGCTGAACTCAAGGAGCCTAAGACATTACTGTCATTTGAAGCGCACACTAAACAGACGGTAAAGAAGGAAGACAGACATCTTTCTGAAGGAAGTACCTCTCATTTCAGATTTCACTGGGTTGGCTTCGGCAAAGAGCATTAACTTTTTACCAAATTAACCTACTCTGTTTTCAGAAGCTTCTAGATTGATGGAGCAAAACTTGGAAAAGTCAGAACCGCGTGACTAACTTCTCCCTCTGAGCCGATGTTTCTCCCACTGCTCTTCCCATATGGGCTGCCTAGGTCACCGGGGTCTTGTTAAGCGACAGACTTGGGGGAAGAGGGATCTGGAGACAGCCACCCCGGACATACTCTAACTCTCCAGAGGCGGAGTCTAGGAAAACTGTGGCTTGAACCTTGAACGTCTGGGATTTGGAAGTCAAACAGAAATATAAGATTTTTAGCCAGTGATCCAAGTGGTTCTTCCCTCAGCATGGCGTGGTGAAAGAGAGAAACCGCGTGTGCGGACTGGGATGAAAGGGTTACACTGCAGCCTCCGGCCTTTACCTGCAGGGTTGCTGGCTTAGGGTGAGCGCTGGATGAATGTGAGTTACAGAACTCTGGGACGCAGGTATCTGAAAGTTGCCAAAGTTCCGCACGACCTTAGGTTTCCGTCGCAGCCTGCAGTGACCGGCCGGCAGCTGGAGCGGAGCAGGGAGCGGAGAGACCCGGGTGTGTGCAAGTTCAGACCCCTCCCCCTCGGTCGGCATCCAGAGGTCAGGTTCCTCAGTCCGTCCCCAGGCACCTACAAAGAAGGACCGGGACCAACATAATGGGAGACTAGGAATTTACTGCGGACATCAATGAAATGTATTACAAATGCGAACGCTGTAAACTGCGCCCCATACATAAGGGAGTTTTACAAACGCCTATTCAAACAGGCGATCCGCTCTTCCCTAGCGTCTAAGTAAGCCACTCAGTAATTATCAGAAAAAACAGGAGAATAAATGAATAAATGTGACGATCCGGCAGTACTGGGGCAGCGG